TGATCCCTTCCCCCCCCCGCGTGGGCGCCCCCCGGCCCTGCCTCAGTTTCCCCTGGCACATTTGCACACCGGGGGGGGGCTTGCACGCCCTCCTGCACACTCTTGCACGCCCTTGCACGCTCATGTGCACCCTTGCACACTTGTGCACACCCTTACGTGCTTGTACACCCTCTTGCACACTCGTACATCCTCGTGCACGCTCGTGCACGCGCTTGCATGCTCACAAATGCCCTTGCGCGCTCTTGCACACCCTTACATGCTCCTACACCCCCTTGCACACCCCTACGTCCTTTTGCACGCTTGCGTGCCCTCTGTGCATTATGAGGGCCTCTCCCAGCCCCCCCCAATTCCCCCCAGCCTCATGGGGTGCACACACGTGTGCAAAGAGGAGTGCACGCGTGCAAGGGGGTGCGCACACATAAACTGGGGGTGCACACATGGGAGAGGGGGTGAAAATACGTGCAGGGGTGCACACACGTGTGCAAGGGGCTGCACGTGCGTGCAAGGGGTGCCCACAGGTGTAGGGCTGCACACAGGGGCGCACGCGTGTGCAAGGGGGTGCACGCCTCTGTGAGGGGATGCATCCAGGTGCAAGGGGGTGCATGTGTGTGCAAGGGGGTGCACACATGTGTAAGGGGATGCATCCAGGTGCAAGGGGGTGCACGTGTGTGCAAGGGGGTGCACGCATGTGTAAGGGGATGCATCCAGGTGCAAGGGGGTGCACGTGTGTGCAAGGGGGTGCACGCCTCTGTAAGGGGATGCATCCAGGTGCAAGGGGGCGCACGCAGGTGCTGGGGCCGCACACGCATGCGGGGCCGCACACGCGAGTACAAGGGGTTGCACATGCGTGCAAGGGAGCGCACACTGCGGGGCTGCGCACACGGGTGCAGGGGGTGCTGGTGCGTGCAACGGGGTGCGTGGGGGTGCACCCATGGGTGCAGAGCATGCGAGGGGATGCCCATGGGTGCAAACTCATGTGGGGCTGCTGACATTGGTGCAAGGGGTGCACATGCATGCTCGGGGGTGCACGCATGGGGCTGCACCCGTGGGTGCAAGGGGATGCACATGCCTGCAAGGGGGTGGTGCGGGGGGGGGGCCACACACAGAGGTGCGAGGAGTGCAGGTGTGTGCAAAGGGGTGCCCATGGGTGCAAGGGGGTCCACACACGGGGCACCACACAGGGGTGCAAGTGGGTGCATATGTGTGCAAGGGGGTGCCCAGGGGGGCTGCACACAGAGGCGTGAGGGGTGCAGGTGCCTGTAAGGGGGTGCCCATGGGTGCAAGGGGGTGCACACACATGTGGGGCTGCAGACATGGGTGCAAGGGGTGCACATGCACGCACGGGGGTGCACGCATGGGCCTGCACCCATGTATGCAACGGGGGGTACAAAGGTGGAGCTGTACATAGAGGTGCAAGGGGTGCTGGTACATGTAAAGGGGTGCGAGAGGGTGCGTGTGTGTGTAAAGGGGTGCCCATGGGTGCAAGGGGGTGCCCATGGGTGCACGGAGGGCACCCCACTCCCGCTGACGGCCCCTCTCGCAGGCCGGGGGGTGGCGGGGGGGCGCGGGGGGGCCCCGCCATGGCCTGCCCGCACGAGACGCGGACGCCCTCGCCCTCGCTGGCGCTGGCCTCGGACGGGACCCCGGAGCAGGAGCTGACCCCCACGCAGTGCGTGCTGCGCGACCCCGCCGCGGGGCCCCCCGCCACCCTGACCTGGGTCCCGAGGGAGCGGGACCCCTGGCCGCCGAGGCCGCCCACCGGGGGTGCCAGGCGGGTGGGGGGTTCCTGGAGGGGCTTTTCGGCTGCCTCAAGCCCGTCTGGACCATGATCGGCAAAGCCTACGCCGCCGAGCACAAGCACCCCCAGGAAGGTGAGGGGGTGCGAGGGGTGCTGCGTGGGTGCTATGGGGCTGGGAGGGTGCAAGGGGGCCAGGAGGGGGCAAGGGAGGGGGCAATGGGACCGGGAGGGTGCCATGGGGCCGGGAGGGGGCAAGGGGGCAAAGGAAGGTGCACTGGGGCGAAGGAAGGTGCAATGGGGCAAAGGAGGGTGCTATGGGTCTGGGAGGGTGCAAGGGGGCAGGGAGGGTGCACTGGGGCAAGGGAGGGTGCAATGGGATAGGGACAGGGGTGCTGGGTGCTGAGGGAAAAGGGGTGGCAATAAGGCAGGGAAAAGGGTGCAGTGGGATGGGGCAAAGCAGGGGGCAGGGGGGCAAGCGAGGGGGCAGGGAGCAGGGTGCCGGGGTGCAATGGGGCAGGGTGGGAGCGGTAGGGCTGGGGTGAGGGTGCCAAGGGGGGGCTGCACCCTGGCCATGCCAGCATGCAGGTGCCATGGGGGTGGGTGCACCGGGGGTGTGGGTACCATGGGTGTGGGTGCATCGGGGGTGCTGATGTGTGGGTGCCATGGGCATGGGTGCCCGCAGACCCCTGGGAGGTGCCGTTCGAGGAGATCCTGGACCTGCAGTGGGTGGGCAGCGGGGCGCAGGGCGCCGTCTTCCTGGGCCGCTTCCACGGCGAGGAGGTGGCCGTGAAGAAGGTGCGGGACCTCAAGGAGACCGACATCAAGCACTTGCGCAAGCTCAAGCACCCCAACATCATCACCTTCAAGTGAGCGTGGGTGCTGCTGACACCGGCATGGGCATGGGGCGCGGGCATGGGCACGGCGTGGGGCATGGACACGCTATGGGCATGGGGACACCATGGGCACGGGGCGTGTTCACAGTATGGCACGCGGCATGGTCATGCCACGGTCATGGAGTGTGGATGCGGCATGGAGAACACCGTGGGCACAGGGCATGGACACGGCATGGGGCATGGACACGGCATGGGGCATGGAACATGGACGTGACGTGGGGCATGGACACGGCATGGGGCATGGACACGGCATGGGGCATGGAACATGGACGGGGCATGGGGCATGGACACGGCATGGGGCATGGAACATGGACATGACGTGGGCAAGCCGTGGGTATGGGGAACACCATGGGCGCAGGGCATGGACGTGGCATGGAGCATGGACATGCTATGGGCATGGAACATGGACATGGCGTGGGCAAGCCGTAGGCATAGGGCATGGAGAACACTCTGGGCACAGAGCATGGGCACAGCGTGGGCACGGACACGGTATGGGGCATGGACATGGCATGGGGCATAGACATGGACATGGCATGGGCATGAGGGATGGAGGCATGGACATGGCATGGGGCATGGACATGCTATGGGCATGGAACACGGACATGGCCTGGGCATGAGCATGAACACAGCATGGGGCATGGACACACCATGGGCAAGCCATGGATGAGGAGGACACCATGGGCACGGCAGCGTCATGGGCATGAAGACAGCATGAGGCATGGACATGCCATGTGCAAGCCGTGGTCATGGGGCATGGGGAACACCATGGGCACAGGGCATGGGCACGGCATGGGCACGGACACAGCATGGACACAGGCATGAACATGGCATGGGCATGGACACGGCATGGACACGGCATGGACATGGCATGGGCACAGGGGTCATGGATGCAACGTGGGCATGGGACACCAACACAGCACGTGCATGGGGAACACCAGCACGGTGTGGACCTGGGTGGGCAGGACACGGCATGGACACGGGGCACTGACACGGCATGGGCACACCGGCATGTCCCATGTGTGGCACAGGGGATGGCCACGGATGGGACAAGGCTGTCACAGACAGGGCACTCTTGGGGCAGGGCGATGTGGGTGCAGATGGGTGCCCCGGTGCTCTGGCACTGATGGTTGCCTGGGTGTAGATGGGTGCCCCAGTTCAGATCGATGCCCCAGTATCCCAGTGCTACTGGGTGTGTGGGTGCAGAGGGGTGCTCCTAGTGCTAACAGATGGCCTGGGTGCACTGGCACTGAGGGGTGCTGACAGGTACCTGGGTGCAGCCAAGTGTCTTGGTGCAGATGGGTGCTCACACGTCCCCTGGTGAAGTTGGGTGCCCCAATACAACCGGGTGCCCCAATACAGTTGAGTGTCCTGGTGCAGCCGGGTGCCCCGGTGCTGCTGGGTGCTGCTGGGTGCCCCGGCTGGCCAGGCAGCGGGTGCTGAGGGTGCTGCTGTGCCCGCAGGGGTGTGTGCACCCAGGCACCCTGCTACTGCATCATCATGGAGTTCTGCGCCCAGGGCCAGCTGTACGAGGTGCTGCGCGCCGGGCGCAAGGTCACCCCCTCCCTCCTCGTCGACTGGTCCATGGGCATCGCTGGCGGCATGAACTACCTGCACCTCCACAAGATCATCCACCGCGACCTCAAGTCGCCCAAGTGAGCGGGGACGGGGGCTCGGGGAGCACCCGTGGGTGCTGGGGTGGGTGCCCCAGGTGGCGGCGTGCCCGTGATGGTGCTGTGTCTGTGGTGGGGACATGCGTGTGGCGGTTGCATGATCGTAGCAGTGCCATGCCCGTGGTGGTGCCTTGTCCTCGGTAGCTGCATGCCAGAGACGGTTGCATGCCCACAGGGATGCCACGTCTGTGGTGGTGCCATGTGCGTGGTGGTGACGTATCCATGGTGGTGACATATCCATGGTGGTGCCATGTCCATGGTGGTGTCGTGGCCATGGCGGTGTCATGTCGATGGCCACTCCATGCCCGTTGTGATGCGATGCCCGTGGCAGTGCCATGTCTATGGTGGCTGCGTGTCCATGGCAGTGTTGTGTCCATGGCAGTGACGTGCCCATGGTGGTTGTGTGTCCGTGACAGTTGCGTGTCCATGGCAGCACCATACCCACGGTGGTTCCACGCTCATAGCATTTGTGTGACTGCGGTGGTGCCATGCTCGTGGTGGTGGCGGTGCTGTACCCATGGCGGTGGCACGCCTGCAACAGGACCATGCTCATGGCAGTTGCGTGCAAATGCCGGTGTCGTGCCCCCGGTGGGGCCATGTCCGTGGTGGTGCCATGTCCATGATGGTGTTGTGCCCATGGTGGTGGCATGCCCATGACCCAGTGATGCTCGTAGCAGTCGCATGCCCGTGGCGGTGCCGTGCCCGTGTCATTGGTGTGGTGCTGGCGTGGCGCTGAGCGGGTGCCCCCCAGCATGCTCATCACCTACGATGACGTGGTGAAGATCTCGGACTTCGGCACCTCCAAGGAGCTCATTGACAAGAGCACCAAGATGTCCTTTGCCGGCACCGTGGCCTGGATGGCACCCGAGGTCATCCGCAACGAGCCTGTCTCCGAGAAGGTCGACATCTGGTGAGGGCACAGGGACCTTGGGGACATCGGGGCCATGGGAACCTTAGGGACGCCAGGGAACCATGGTGGCATTGGGGACACAGCAACAGAGGCAACGGGGACACTGGGGGGCACAGGAGGCATTGGGGACAATAGGAACAGGGGACATTGCAGGGACATCAGGGGCACATGAGGCCTCAGGGACAGCAGGGACACGGGGGGGAACAGAGATGGGGACATTGGGGATGCTGGTGGGGACATTGCAAGGACAGGGATGAGGGACATCAGGAGGGACAGGGGACATAGGGGACACCAGCATGGGCAGAGGCAGGGAGGGGGCACCAGGGCAGGGCAAGGGGGACCAGGGGACAGCTGGAGGACACTGGGGGTGCTCAGCCGTGGGTGCCGGGGGCCATGGGTGCCGGTGCCCCCAGGTCCTTCGGGGTGGTGCTGTGGGAGCTGCTGACGGGCGAGATCCCCTACAAGGACGTGGACTCCTCGGCCATCATCTGGGGGGTGGGCAGCAACAGCCTCCACCTGCCCGTCCCCTCCGGCTGCCCCGACGGCTTCAAGGTGCTGCTGCGCCAGTGCTGGTGAGTGCGCCCGCGGGGACACCCCACCTGGGGACACCCCGCCTGGGGACACCCCGCCATGGGGACACCCCAGCTGGGGCCACGCCGTGGGCACCCAGGCCGTGGATGGATCATGCCATGGGGGACCCCACCATGGGCACCCCACTGTAGGGACCACCATGAAGGACCTGCTGTTGGCACCCCAATGTGGGCAGTGCAGGGGGGACCCCTTGTCATCGGGGCCCCCATCCTGGGGGTGCCCCCACCGGGGGGGGGGGGGGGGGGGGGGGCCACGGGGCCCCCCCCCCCCGCCCAGCCCCCAGCCGCCCCCCCCCGCCTGCACCCAGTGCCGTGCCGCTCTCCCCAGGAACAGCAAGCCCCGGAACCGGCCGTCCTTCCGCCAGATCCTGCTGCACCTCGACATCGCCTCCGCCGACGTCCTCTCCACCCCCCAGGAGACCTACTTCAAATCCCAGGTACCCAGCACCCGGGACCCCAGCACCCCAGGACCCCCAGCACCCCAGGACCCCAGTACCCAGGACCCCAGCACCCAGGGGCACACCAGGACCCCCAGCACCCCAGGACCCCCAGCACCCCCAGCACCATGGGACCCCCAGCACCCTGGGACCCCCCAGCACCTGGGGACTCCCAGCACCTTGGGACCCCAGGGACCCCCCAGTACCCTGGGACCCCCAAACCTTGCAGGACACCTACTTCAAATCCCAGGTACCCAGCACCCCAAGACCCCCAGCATACCCAGCACCCAGGGACCACCCAGCACCCCCAAACCCTCCAGGAGACCTTCTTCAAATCCCAGTGACTGTGAGGGCTGGTGCTGGGGCAACTGGTGCCAGGAGTAGCTGGTGCTCAGAGTGTCCAGGCCCAGTATATCCCAGTGTTCATGGTAGCCGTGCCCAGTATATCCCAGTGCCTAGAGCAGCTGCACCGAGGTAATGCAGTGCCTGGGGTATCTCCTGCCCTTGGTAGCCCGCACCCAGTGACTGTGCTGGCCAGTGCCCAGGGTAGCCAGTGCCCAGTGCCTGTGGTTGCTGGTGCTCAGGGTGCCCAGTGCCCTCGGTAGCCAGTGCCTGGGGTGCTTGGTGCCCGTGCTAGCCAGTGCCCAGGGTAGCTGGTGCCCAGGGTGCCCAGTGCCCAGGGTAGCTGGTGCCCAGGATCCCC